GAGAGAGAGAGAGAGAGAGAGAGAGAGAGAGAGAGAGAGAGAGAGAGAAAGAGAGAATGAACAGGGATGTGATTTTTGCTTACACGATCTAGTTATCTGCCCATTATCCTCCCCCACTCCCTCCCTTTCATGTTTCTGTCGGTCTCTTTCTCTTTCCCTCTTTCTCTCTGTCTCTCAAAATATTGCTCTCTGTCTCTCTCTTTATTGCTCTCTCTCTCTCTTTCTTTTTATGGCTCTTTCTCTCTCTCTCTCTCTTTTGGTCTCTCTCTGTCTCTCTCACCTACACAAACACACACGCACACACAAACACACACACACACACACACACACACACACACACACACATACACACATACACTCTCTCTCTCTCTCTATCTCTATCTCTCTCTCTCTCTCTCTCTTTCTATCTATCTCTCTCTATCTCTCTCGTTCACTAGCTGTGTGCATGCTTGTATGTGTGTTTTAGGGTTGCGTGTTCGTCAATGCCTGCTTGTTCACTTATGCGTCTTGTGTCTTAGTGTTAAAGATCGAAAGAAAATACATTTTATAAGCTAAAATATTCATCCTACGTTTCTACCTATGAATGTGGTATAGTGGTTAAGAGCTTCGTTTTCGCACACAGGAGACCATAGTTCGATGCCTGAGTGGGCAAAATTTCAATCAAGTATCTCGGTCTTTAGTTTTGGTGGGATGTTTCTTCCTTCTCAGGCAGGTTAGTCCCGACAATGACAGGGATTGGTCGGAAGCCGCTACCTAATAGATGTTATAAATTGTGTGGATGGGGGCATAACAACGCAAAACTTACATTAAAAATATACCTGGATATCTGGAGGTGTCTTAGAGCTCTGACTCAGAGGTTGACGTGTAATGACCCTCCATCTTTCACGGTCGCGAGCTGCCGTTGCACATTCTGCCATACCCAGGCCAGCCCAGGTTTTTATGTTGTTCATCCATGTTATTCTTTGCCTTCCTCTGGCTCTCTTGCCCTACATCTTTCCTTCAAGCTCCCCTTTAACAATGGTCAATTTTTTATATATATATTTTTTTTTAATTTATTGTTTCTGTTTGCAGGTGTGGTTTCAGAACCGACGAGCGAAGTGGAGGAAGAGGGAGAGGTTTGGTCAACTACACACAATGAGAGCCATGGCATCCGCGGCCAACCAGGGTTATGACATGCCCCTGGCCCCGAGACATGACGCTTACTCACAGATGCAGGTTAGTAAGTTAGTGAGCAGCCTCAGCGAGCTGCAAAAATGTACCCGGCACCGAAAATAAAATTTTAAAGCTGAATAAAAAAGAAACACACACACACACACACACACACACACACACACACACACATACACGAGCGCTTGCGCACACACAGACACACACACACACTCATGCACGCGCACACATATACACAAACGCACATGCACACACATATACACACACACACACGTGCATGCTCACATACACACATTCACACACACGCGCGCATATACACATGCACACACACACACACACACACACACACACACACAAACAAACAAACAAACTACTAATCTGTTTCATGCTTCCCGGGAAACTGAGAATATTTATGAGTGTTCTATGGTCTGCTAGGGTAATAATAATATAGTGTAAAGCGCATAGAGCCTGCTGTCGAGCGGGGAAATGCGCTATACAAATGCTATTTTATTTTTTTTGTTTTGTTTTTGTAAAGTGTTTTACGGCGCTCGCAAATGCATAGGTCATATGAGCGCGCGGGACACTCCTAATATTTTCAGTTGGTAGGAAATTTTGAATTTTGCCCGGGTGGCGGTCGAAGCCTACTCTTATCGATTTTAGACCACCAAGGTATCTTTAACGTGCGCAACTTGCACACGGGTCCTCCGAGATTTTTTGCCCTTGTCCGAGAAGTCTAGGTGTAAATCTTTCCTACCAGAAGATCAGGGGTGTGGCAGAAAGACAGCAGTAAGGAGGAGCCAAGGAGTAGCAGTAGAAAGGCTGCAGAAAGAGTCAGGAGCCCAGAGTAGGGGGCAAAGGAGGTGAGGAGGTGGGGGCAGAAAGTGGAAATGAAAGCAGACAACAGAACATTGCTAGAGAGCAGGATAGGAGGTGAAAGGAGACAATTTTAGAGAAGAACATTTTTTGGTCGCTACCCGGATTCGAACCCGGGACATTTGAATGAGAGGCCAACACCTTAACCTCTAGGCCACGAGAGCCCCCTGCTATTTTATTACTATTATTATTATTATTATTATCATTGTTATAACAACTGTAGATTATACGTTATGTATTTATTAGAGAAGAGGAATGGGAAATGTTCTTTTGTACAGTAACTGGTGATTGTCTTGAGCATGGGGCTGTTTGAACAGATTAAACTTTAGTTTGAAAAATATGTTCCTTTTGAGAGCATTCTTGCTTATCTTGGAGGCCGAGCAACATATAGAACAATCTTATAAGATGAGATAAGATACATCTTTATTGTCTAGATCCTGGCACATTGGTTTGGTGTTTCACCAAGTACACACATACGCACACACACACACATACATACATGGACACACGCACACACACACATACACAAACACACATTCACACATACTCACACACGCACATTCACACACACGCAGGCTTATAGTCACATGCATATTTAAATGAACTGTAATATTATAAACAATAATAATGTTTGCTTGTTATTTGGCAGTAAAAGATAAAGTGCTGGAAAGTTGAAATGGAACGATAATGAAGTTGAAAAGGCAAATTTACCTTATCATTGAACTATCATAATGCTCGACTATGATTCTATCTTGTCTTATCTAACAAATCTTTAGTCTAATGAGTGGATTGTTGGCGGGTGCTCTAATGTGGTTTGCTCCTTATTTCCTTTCAGACAATTTGTCATTCCTATCTCTCCTCCATCTTTTCTTTGTATGATACTCTCTTGTACCACCCCTCATTTTCTGCACCTTTATGAAATAGCTGAATTACAAGTGCCATGCAACTCTGACTTAAACTCATTTAACAAACAAACAAACTAATAAACATACAAATAAATAAGCAAAATGTGACCCACTTGACATACTAAGTGCAGTAAAATTCTTACTAAAATTATTTCAACAAACACAAATAAAACAAACAAAAACCAAAACAAACACATTCTAATACCCCAGTAACAACAACAACAAGCAGGTGTGTTTGACCAGTATTTCCCTTTTTCTTTCTCTCGCCCCCCCCCCCCCTTCCCAACCAGGCCCCGGATTCATCTATGATGTGGATGGAGATGTACAACCACTACGGAAACAACATGTGGAGCCCGGTGTCCGCCATTAAAGGATACCACTTGTCCATGGGTACGTATTTCATATCATACAATATTATAGTATACTACCTATTACATAGAAATGATCTACATTATGCTGCATCAACAACGGCAACGATAGCACTGATAATAATAATAATAATTATAATAATAATGATACTAGTAATGATAATGAGGATAAAACTGTTATTTTTCTTGTTATTATTATTATTTTTATTATTATTAATTATAATTATAATTATGATAATAATGACATTAATAATATTATTGGTTATAATTTTATGATAATACGAAGAAGAAGAAGAAGAAGAAGAAGAAGAAGAAGAAGAAGAAAAAGAAGAAGGAGAAGAAGAAGAAGAAGAAGATGAAGAAGAAGAAGAAGAAGAAGAAGAAGAAGAAGAAGAAGAAGAAGAAGAAGAAGAAGAAGAAGAAGAAGAAGAAAAAGAACAACAACAACAACAACAACAACAACAACAACAACAACAACAACAACAACAACAATAACACTTAACACTAACAATATTGTTCCCCCTCCCCCCCCCCCCCACAGACGCGGCCCAGTCTCTAGGCACCAAGTGGCCCCCCGCCGTGCCCTCCATGTACCCCACATGGAACGACTCACAACTCCTGTACCCCCACCAGCAGCACCCCTCCCCTGACGCCTTCCACTCCGCCAACGGTCCCCCACCCCCGCGACATGACGTCACACCTGTCTATGGACAGGTCGGGAACTTCCAGCAATGTTCAGCAGCCGGGCCTGGCGGGCCCTGATTGGTCAAGATCTATACTTTCTTACCAAGGATTTTTATACAGTAAGATCCTTGGTTCAAACGCTCTGGGCGCCTAGGTCAAGATCTATATGTTCTTACCCAGGACGTTATACTGTGAGATGCTTGGTTTTTACTCTCTGAGCGTCAAGGTTAAGATCTATACGTTCTTAACAAGGAGGTTCTACAGTACGATCCTTGGTTCATACTCTCTAAGCCTCTAGGTCAAGGTCGATGTGTGTGTGAACTTTAAATCTGGAATATTAATTTAACGGTTTATCATTGCAGACTGTAATGGGTCGACTTTGACATGAAAACTTTAAAGACTTGTCATAATGGGTCAAGATCGATCTGTGTGTTAACGTAGACCAGAACATTTTAACGACTTGTCATGAAGGGTCAATGTGGTTGTGAACTTTGACCTGTAATGTTTAACGGGTTATAATAGCGGCCTATAATGGGTTGAACTTTGACTTGAAAACTGTTAATGGCTTATCAACGAGGACTATGAAATGTCAACGTCTATGAATGTGAACTTTAATGTGAGGACTTTAACGACTTGTCATGATAGGTCGAAGTCGCTGTGGGAGTGAACTGTGACCTGAAAACTTTTACCGTTTATCATGGTGCACACTATGAGGTGTCATTGTCTATTAGTGCGAACTTTGACCTTCATTCTTTCACCACGTTTTCGGGAGAACCCTGATTGGCCAATATCGACATGAACTTTGACCTGAATACTATTCATGTCTAAACAAGGCTTTTATAATATTGTATTTTAAGGCCTTTCAGGACTTAAGTTTGTACTGTGACTGTTACAGGTCAACGTTTGGTGAGAGTGATCACCGGAATTCATGCCGCTTTGACTTGTGGCCAAAGTTTGGTGAGAATAATAATAACAAAGGGAATGCACTGGAATGCAGAAACCGCAACGATTGAATATTTCATAATGCAAGATAGATCAAACGCATTCTGTAGTTTGGAAGTGTCTGGAACTGCCGTGAAGTTCAGAGGTTTGTTTTGACTGTGGTCAATGTACTCAACTCAATCGAATGCAGAAACCGATGATTGAATATTATAGATCATCCGATCGATCAAACGCAGTCTGTAGTTTTGATGGGCATATAAAATATATTTGTGAAAGTCAGAGACGTTTTGTTTCGGTTGTGGTCAATAGAATGAATTCAATCGGATGCAGAAACTACAGATTAAATATTTTAAATGTATACCACATGGTAGATCAAACTCATTCTGTGGTTTCCATTGGTATGCTATGTTTGTGAATGTAAGAGAACGTTTGCTTCATCTTTGGTCCTGTCTATATTATATAGCTGTGATGACGAAGCGAAGTCAGCATGGCAGGGCACTGTGCAGAATATCATACTATTGTAAGTCTATGGGAAATAGAAAGAAGCTTTCCCTTGTTGCTTGAGAGAGCGACATATCCTTGAAACTGACCAGTAGATTGTTTTGTGTCGAACTGTCTTTGTAACTCCGAGTTCCCATTAGGGAATCGGTTCTCTAATACAAACCAATCGCCAACCGATCGCCCGACTCGTGGCTTGAATACAAAAGAGTTGATTTTTGAGTTGACGAATCGAGCGATTGGTTTGTGCGTCCTCAGCCTGGCTAACAAACCGAGCCGAACCGAGCCCATCGTGCCAATGTCCACTGGGATAACACGTCATTGTGGTCATTGAATGGTCAGTCACTCTTGTCTGTGTAAAGACATTAATACTGTGGCAACTACCGAACGCAGTTACAAACGTTAGACGCACCAGGACTGGAACGGACAAAGTACTTCGCTTATACAGGGGTGGAATTTGCTAATTGGACAATAATTCAGTTTACGTTTACCCAGCATTTAATCTCATACTAGGACGTGCCCTTTGGAGGATCGAGTCGGGTCGGGTTGGGTCGGGTCGGGTCGGGTCGGGTTTGCTAGCCAGATTGAGGACGCCAAGCGGTTATCGTGGCACGAGCCGATTGCACCCGACTCGTCGCCTCAGAAACAAACACGTTTGTTTTCAGGCGACGAGTCGGGCGATCGACCAGACCCGACCCGACCCGACCCGACCCGATCCCATCCGCAGTGGACACACGGTATTACGTGAAGCTGAAATAGCACTTGGAAATGTCTACAAACATTCTGTATATGAACTGGATATGACAAATTAATGATTATAGATGCATTATTTAATTATTTCATTGGGGCAAAATATTGTCGAATCTGCCCGAACGGTTACATGTATAAGACAATCAATTGTAAAAAAAAATGACAACCTGTATAAGACAATCACCTGTACAAATGGCCACCTGTACAAGACGATCACCTGTACAAACGGCCAATTCCCATTTTTCCTTTTATGTATTTTTTACATTATTCTGATAAAACTCTGAAAGACGTCCTATTGTCAAAGACGAACACTTTACTCCTCGAAAATGGATGGATGTCTTTTATATATATATATATATATCTCCTCTATATTTATATTTGTGTGTGTGTGTTTGTGGGTGTAGATGTATATATGCAGATGTACATTATGTTTGTATGTGTATCTGTGTGTTTGTGTGTATATATGTGTGTGTGTGTAATATTGTAAAGAACGAGAGAGAATGAGAGGTTGTGAGAGAAAGAGAGAGAGAGAGAGAGAGAGAGAGAGAGAGAGAGAGAGAGAGAGAGAGAGAGAGAGAGAGAGAGGGATACAAATAAAGTACAAATGAAAGAAGACGACTAGAAAGAGAGAAAGGAAGAGATGTAACAGTTTGTATAAACAATGTAATACAAAGAAAAGTACTAGGTGTTATGTATTTATGTAAGTCATATTACTATTGGGCACGTTTTGCAGATAAACAGACTTCTTAGCTTTTATTTTATTTCACTTTTGTTTTGTGTTTTTTTCGGCTTTCTTATACTATGTTTTTATTTGTTGAATTCAGTTTTTGTCTGTTTGCCTGTTTGCCTTTGTATTGCGAGGACGAGGGTAAGATTCACCGTTTATTAACATGACGAATAACTGCAAAACAACAAAGCATGGAATGGATAATCAGAAATTCCCTTCGTCCATGCTGAAACACTTCATTAGCATAATCATATTCTATAATATCATCACATGACATTTCATCAAGACTATCACACTTTTCAAGGTGCAAACACTGTTCTCTATTTATACTCGGGGGTTATTGCATCATTAAATCCTGCCAATTTTGACATTCATTTTTTTTAGCATCAAAACGTGTTTTCCCTATATCACTCTCTGCTTCTATCTAACCTATTGCCTTAAAACAAACCCCTAACTGAGCAGATTGGTGCTCATATGACCTTATACAGTTGCGAGCGCCGTAAAGCCTTATACTATAAACCAAAAAAAAAATAAAAGAGCAGAAATAAATTATCTTTGCAATAATCCTACATTTAAGATGGATTTGCTAGGGGTTTCGTAGATTTTTAAATTTGTGTTTGAGTAAAGAGAAGCACACCGACACAATCATGGTCATTTAGTGCTGGGAAACTGTAAAACAGACAGACAGACTGAGAGACGGAAACGACAGAGGGAAAGTAAAGAAGTAGGACCTACCAGTGGCGCCCTCCAACCACCCACTACATTTTTTCTATGACATTGAACAACCGAACGGTGCTTACCTCTAACCTCTAACCTCCTACGTGTTAAGCACACCTCAGAGACATCGTTTCTTTGCTTGTGGCAACATTTCTGAGATATTTCAGTATAGCAGCAACATATTGTTTATTTATATCAATGTTTTACTTGTAGAAACACACGCCGTATGTAAAAAAAAAAGTGCCTTATCGTCTAATTTAGGATTCAGTTATTGGCGGAAAGTACAAAACTAACAACATCAACAACAAAAACAATAATCATGATATTAATGATAATAAAAAATAATGATTATAATAATAATATTAATAGTAATAATGATGATGAAAATGATAGTAAAAAATAATGATGATAA